AGACCATAGTCTCCGGGCTGAGTTTTCAGAAGCAGACCATAGTCTCCGGGCTGAGTTTTCAGAAGCAGACCATAGTCTCCGGGCTGAGTTTTCAGGAGTAGACTGCTCAGCTTTTTCTGAGACACCTGAGTGGACCTGAACCTCCAACCTTCAGGTTAGCAGCCACGTGTGTTAATCACTTGTACCGCCCAGGCACTCTTTCAAGCCCTATGAAGGCCGACTTGCCATGGTTCCCGAGATGTCTGTGAGCAGAGGGACCAACAGAGGCACTGGATGCCTCTGAAGCATAAACGGCCTTGGAGCTGTTGGGTGACGTCACCTCCCGACTTGGTATTGCTGGGTCATTCTAACAATGCTGAGGAAACAACGTGGGGGAGAAACCAGGGGAGACAGTGAAATTGAGGGGAGCCCACATTGGTGCTTCAGTTACACACTAGTTTTCCACACCGCCAGCACGTGCCCTGTGAAGCTGGGGCACTAGGTCCTCACCTGTACAGTACACGGTCTGGGCCACAGTGGCTGCAATAATGCTGGCGAGCCCCGTTCCTGCACCGAGCTCCAGCACGGTGCGTCCCCGGAGAAGGTCCTGCTGGGACAGGATGTAATCCGCCAGGAGCAGGGCTCCCCGCCACACCTGCAGGGAGACAAACACGCAGGCAGCATGAGGCCCCAGGAGAACCCTGCAGGGCCAAGGGAAGCGGACGGGACCTACCCACCTGCTTGCCAACGTCCTCCAGGGTGGTGGCCATGGTGTGCTCTGGACCAAGAGAGAAATGCCCACTGTGAAAACGGGGTGGACAGAAAACCACAGAGGGAGTGCTCATGGCAGTCTGCAAACGCGATCGGATAGGCATGCGGTTAGCATTCTAGAGAGAAGCAGAAAAACAGGCTGTGCCACTGGTTGGGAGGGGGTGTTTGCCCATCGCCCACAGGCTGGCCCGGAGGCCATGATGAATCAGTCTTTGCGTCAGCCTGGCCAGCTATTTAACCAACCCCTCATCTAGCTGCTGCAGCGATGGTACTGGGTAGAAAGGGTTAACATCTACACTCAGTTGGCTTAAAGTAGAGCAGACTACCTTCCATAATGTGGGTGGGCCTTACCCAATCACACGAACGCCTTAAGAGCAAAAAGGTACTTCCTGGAGAAGAAGAAATTCGGCCTTAAGGCTGCGGCATCAATTCCTGCCTGAGTTTCTAGTTCTAAAGATTTCAGATGGGCAGCCCACAAATGCATGGGCCAAACCAAAAAACCAAACTCACTGCTGTTGAGTCGACTGCGACTCATAGAGACCCCTCCTTGGGTTTCTGAGGTGGTATCGCTATGGAAGTAGATTGCCCAACCTTCCTTCCAAAGAGTGGCTGGTAGGTTTGAACTGCCAGCCTTCTGGATAGCAGTCAAATGCCAAGTCCTTAAAATAAATCTCATAGTACATCTATAAAGATCAGTGGCCATGAAACCAACTCTGACTCAAGGTAACCCCATGTGTCAGAGGAGAGCTGCCCTCCACAGGGTTCGCAATTCCTGATTTTTTGGAAGTAGATCACCAGACCTTTCCTCCAAGGCACCTCCGGGTGGCCACAAAACTTCCAAACTTCCAATCAGCAGCAGAGTGTTCACATCACCCAGGGCCTCTGTCTGTATTTCGATCCACAGGTTATTGTTTCTCTGGAGAACCCTTACTGATACAGCAGCTTGCTCTTTCAGATAACTGGGCATTCCTGCCCCAACAGATTGCAGACCAGTCACAATGGGCCTGGATCCAAACCTACTTAAATCACAGCCCCCCCCTTACACTTTTTATGTCCAATAACTGCGTATTACAAATTTATGGTGTTCTGATCAAGTATATACCACTAAAAATTGCAACTCATTTCAAAATATTTTATTACACTTAGAGCCACACTAGAAATTAACAAAGTAAATTTGAATTTATATCCTTTCTTAACCAAAGAGAACTATGGTAAGCAATCATGAGTATTTTCAAGCATAAAATGTATTAGAATGAAACATGGTGGGAAGGGAAAGAAAAGAGAAATATGGGATGAAGGAGCAAAAGAAGGGTGTGAAGTGGTTTTGCTGCTAAGAACTCAGTCTTGCATTTTCACGAGATGGCTATGCATGCACACGCACACATGCACACACACACACGAACAGCAGGGTGGCTTTGCATGTCTGTCATCCACACCAAACCACAGACTCACAATAGAATGGGAGCAGGGACAGAGTGAGCAAGAGAAGAGAAGGGGTTGGAGAATTACAGGGCAGGGAGGGTCCCTGCGGTGCAAACGGTCACCATTCAGGTGCTAACCGAAAGGGTGGAACCCACCCAGAGACACCACAGAACAAAGGCCTGGTGATGTACTTCTGAAAAATGGGCCACTGAAAACCCTGTGGGCACAGCTCTCCTCTGACACACGGTGCCCAGTAGTTGGCGTCCACATCACGACTCCAGGCTTGTTTTTACTTTCTGGTTACCAGCATCTTGGTTGGGCTCAATATTGTGCCTTGGAAGTTGTTTTCAATAAGGACTTCGGATCACTACAGCCTAACACGTAGCCACATGGTTTGAAGTAGCTCCCCCTACACATCCGTCACTGAGTTCCTTCTCTGGGTCAGGTGCTGGGCTAAATGCTTGGTGAGCAACATCTCGTTCAGTCCTCCAAACCACCCCATGAACTAAGTTCTAGTGTCATCTCTCTCCCTTTGTAAAAAAATCGGTTGTTGTCATGTCAACACCAACCCCTAGGGACCCCACGTGTGTGAGAGTGGAACTTTACTCCTCAGGGTTCTCAGTGACCGACTTTTCAGTAGATGGCCAGGCCTTTCTTCCCAGCCGCCTCTGGGTGGATGTGACCTGCCTACCTTTTGGTTAGCAGCTAAACGTGTAATCTTTGCGCCACCCTGTGGCCAAATGGAGGTATTGGGCTTCACACTGTGGGCTCCCCGGAGTGAACACATCAAGCCAGAACAGATTCTCCAAGAGTCCAGTCAACCCAGAGGCTGAAAAGTCAGCACAGTGGGTCTCAAGGGGCGCTTCCCCTGGGTGCTGGTGGATGCCCTGCAGTCTGAGTGCAGAGATTCGGGCCCCCTTCCTCTCTGACAGGGGAACAGGTGATTTCCTTCCTCAGGATGTCCGTCCCATGGTCGTTAGAGTGATCGTGGTGAGGGCCTGGCATGTTTGCTCAGCTAAGAGGCAGGGGCCCACTCCCCAGCCAGGGTCAGGAGCTAGCACCTTCCTCAAGTGGAAAGTCATGTTTTGGGTTCAAATGACTCCAATGCCATCACAAGAGCATCCAAGACCTGCCCAGGGACCTACACCAACAAGGACCCAGATCCTGCCCCATCAGATTCCGAAACCATGAGTTCCATGCCACCTGATACCTTGGTTTCTACATCTGCAGGAAGCTGGAATCTCTTGCTCAGCCAGGCCTCCCTTCTCCCCACTCAGAGCAATCCCCAGGAATTCAAGCTGATGGCACCTCCCTTTACTGAGCACCTACTATGTGTCAGGCACTGTACTGAAAGCTTGACCTGTACTATCTCTCTTAGTTCCTCATGGCGAGTGGCAGCTGTACCCATTTTACAGGCATAGAAACTGAGCCCAGAGAGGTCAAACAACCTGCCCATGGCTCCCTGCTACCAGCCTAGCCTTCCACGAACTCCACTCGACTCTACACCCCTGGTATGTCAAGTCCAGATCAGAACATCGATGCTGGAGGAAGTAGCAGCAAGGTTTCCTGAAGGAGATGATGGCTATGGGGACTTGAATGGCAATTAGGAATTATTAAGAAAGCAGAGATGGGGGCCACATACTCTAGGAAGGAGGCACAACACAAAGAAAAGCCCTCAGATAAACAAAGAGCACAGAAGGAGGTGATGGTGGTGAGGCGGGAGTGGTGAGCAGAGGCCACAGCACACAGGGCCTCCTAAGGCAAGCTGAGTCAGCGGGACTCTATCCCGAGTGCAATGGGGAGCCCCTGAGGCGTCTTGGGCAGGAGCAGGCTGCCCGTATGTTTTGGAAGCTCCCCAGAGCTCAGACCACACTGTGCCCTGATGGGGACTGGGGGCTGAGGGTGAGCCAGACCTCATTACCTATTCTGACGACACTGCAGAGGCTGCCGGCTTGTGCTTCATCCCCCATGCCATCATCTTCTTCCTGTGTTAGAATCACAGGGTGCACCTTGTCTCTCGGAGGGTCAGAAGCAGCCCGGGGTCGTCTCACCACATCCAAGTCCCCATCCTCATCCAGCTGGGCTCCTGCACCTTCCTGGCTGGTCTGGAGGGAGAAATCCTCACGGCTGAGGTCGCTCCCTGGAGGGGGTCCTGTCCCATCACGCGATGTCTCTTGAGCGTCTCTGTGGTCTCCACTTTCAGCCCCTGAGTCCTGGCTCCACAGGAGCTTGAACTGGGACAGGAAGACTGAAAGGCAAGACGAAAACAAAAGTGATGGGGATAGTCCCAGGGGCCTTCTGTCCTCTCTCTCCCCTTGCAGAAAGCTTCATTTCCAATCAAATTTGGAAGAGTTTTAAAGCCAAGTGGAGACACAGTAATGTTGAAAGAGAAGGTCTGTTCGCTTCAGCTGTGACGCCGGGGCCACCACCAAGAGCAGCCAACGTTATGGGTATCTATGATGTTACAGGCACTTGGCCCATGTTACCTCATTTAATCTTCGCAATTGCTACAGCTCTGGTAGCATAGTGCCTAAGGCACTTGACTGCTAACCAGAAGGCTGGCAGTTCAAACCCACTAGCCACTCCTCAGAAGGAAGTGGGTCATCTACTTCCATAGTGATACTGCCTCGGAAACCCAAGGTGGGGCACTATGAGTTGGGGCCAACTTGACGGCATATAACAAGAAGAACACAACGGTAGTAGTGTCTGCTCTATCTGACCGACGAGGAAACTGAAGCTTTACGTGAGCTGACCAAGGCCACACAGCCAGTGCGTGGCTGAGGCAGAGTCCGAACCAGGGCTTTGAATTAGTTCAGCCCTGTTTAATCATGGCCGAGGAAGCAACAGCAGAACAGACCCATTTTTTTTTTTAACCGGGGTGAACTGGAGTGGGAACCAGGATTGGAAAAGTACAGTAGCAGCCCTGCTAGAAACTGAAACTCTTTTAGGGCCATGTGCACATTGCATAGCAACCAAATCTCTTGCCTGCAGAGTGGGAAACAACAGCTCCTGGCTCAAAGATGGCAACCAGTCTGGGCTGCTTTGAATATGTGTCATGCTCCGTGGTACTGCCAACGCCCAATCTCTTGCATCAGGCTCTTGAAAGCGCTCATCACACCTCTTCCGAGTCTCCCATTTCAGGGCTTTGAGCAGTAATATCATCCATTCTGGTTAGCATCTCCGTTCACCCAAATCGGAAAAATCTGGGTCTCTTCTGGATTCTCTTCGTTGGCCATGACTAAACCAGTTTCAAGCCCTTGTTCAAACCCTGATGGCTCTGCTCCTGAGCCCCCACCCTTCTCGCCACACAGCTCCACTTCTCAAGGCTTGGTCAACAGAATGAGGGCTTGATGTACCCTCACTGTTGGGAGGCCAGAAAGCCATAGGAACAAGTCCCCATAAGAATGCGTGTGCCAGGAGTGGGGCTGCAGGACTTAGGAGCCAACTGTCTTGGGCTGGAACCCTCCGTGTGCCCATGTGGTCTGACAGGGGGCAAATCACTCATCTGTTTGGAGCCTCAGTTTCCTCGCCTGCAGAATGAGGAAACTAGTACCTGCCTGCTAAGCCATCCCACCCCGAGGCTAGGATGCCATAATGAGCATAAAGCACCCAGCATGCTGTGGGCATTTGAGACCTGTTATCCCCCATCCTTTCCCTTCTCCTCTGTCCCTTTCACATTACCGAATGTAAGACGGAGCTCACTCTTCTCTCTCTTCTCCAAGGAAAACATGATTATGACCACAACAGGCAGGGCCACAGCAGACAGGGCCTGTCCACCTCTTACCTCTGGGTCTTCGTATGGCTGTGCCCTCTGCCCGTGGGGCCTGTCCCTCACTTCTCTGTCTGGGTACATTCTTCCTGGCTTTTAGGATGAGTCCAGGGGCTTCTCCTTTATGCTGTCCCACTCCTGCCCAGCCACCTGCACCGAGTGCCTGGCTGCCTCAATCTCCTCCCACTGCGACTTGTTGTCTTTTCTCCTGCACATCTCCCCCCACCCTGCCACTTCCTTCCCCTAGCAGCCAAGGGGATTGTTTGAAACATGCAAAGAGAATTACAGCATTGACCTGATGTTCCTGACTCTCCAGAAGCTTCCCATGAGTCTTAGGACTAAATCCAGGCTCCTTGAACTGGTCTCTGAGACCCCTTATCCCCTCACGCCACTGTGGCTGGGATGGGAAGGAGGCGTGGAAGTGGAGCAGAAGATGGATGGCACCCTGGGGCTCAGTCTTCCCTACTGGATGTGGGCCCCTGAGGGCTGAGCTCACTCACTGCTGCCTCATCAGCATGAGTCCTGGGCCTGGCACACAGTAGGTGCTCAGGAAACAGTTGCTCAAGGAAAGAAGAGTACTGAAGATGTGGTGTGAGGGTCACAGTCAATGCAGTCTTCCCAATCTTCTCCCCCAAAACACAAGAACAGAAAAACAGGAGATGCATGGGCCCTGCAAGGGCTGGTCCCTCTGCACACACTCAGGCCTTACCGGGCTGTCCCACACCATTCAGTCGCACCATGAGGTGCCTCTGGTTCGGGGTGTAGAGGTGGACGTCTGACAGCACTGTGTTGCTTTTGAAGGTGACCTCGTCCATGGCTGGGGAGGGAGCTGGCTGGACCATGGCCTAGGTTCCTCATAAATCCTGAGCAGGGGTACCTGTGGGGGAGAGAATATTCCTCAGGACAGCAGGTCACAAAGGGGCAGACTGAAAACATGGCTGCCCCGAAACCAAACCACTTGTTGCCTGGTTGATCCCATATGTCAGAGCAGAACTGTGCTCCACTGGACTTCAATGTCTGTCATCTTTCAGCAGATCACCAGGCCTGTCTTCCAAGGTGCCTCTGGGTGGATTTGAACCACCAGCCTTCCAGTTAGTCGCCGACTACTTCACGTTTCAGTTACCAGGGACTCCTAGGCAGTGACTAGTGTGACATCAGTCTAGGAGAAAAGTACTTCCCTTTCAAGAACACTTCCTCAAGGAGAAAGCCTCAGAGCCTTGGCAGGCACAAAGAATCTTAAAAGGATTTAATTTTATTTTGTTTGCACTGTGCTGACTATAGTTAGCTTCTACTTACGGCAAGGAAGCTGGTTTTTTCCACTTACACTGATGAAAGAACGGCTCTGTCCCTTTTTGTTTTTTCTAGTTATTTTGAATATTTGATTTCAAAAATCATGCAACAGGAAAGTTAAGGGATAGCACCGTAAACCATCACATTTTCTTAAATATCGACCAAATACAAATTCACATTCTTAATTTCTAATTGGATTTGTAATTTAAAAATTCCAACTATCTGGGCTTCCCAGTAAAGGAGCTCGTGACTGGGGATCCCAGGCAAAGTGGATTCTCTTTAAGAGGTTTTCCCTGGAACCGTTATCTGGGAATAAGGAGGCCCTATTTTACCAACAGTGAGCCCTGGTGGTGCAGCGGTTAAAGCTCTCAGCTGCCACCAAAAGATTTCAACCTACCAGCTGTTCTGCAGGAGAAAGAGGCAGCGGTCTGCTGTCATAAAGATTTACAGCCTTGGAAACCTTAGTTGCTATGAGTCAGAATCAACTTGACAGCAGTGGGTTTGATTTGGGTTTGAGATTGTACCTATACAGAGACCTGATGGCACAGTGGTTAAGTGCTCAGCTGCTAACCAAAAGACCAGCAATTAGAACCTACCAGCCACTCTACAGGAGTAAGATGAGACAGTCTACTTCCACAAAGATTTACAGCCTTGGAAACCCTATGGGGGCAGTTCTACTCTGTCCTATAGGGTTACTACAAGTCAGAATCTACTCCATGGTAAGGGTTTTGGTTTTGGTACTATACCTATGTCAGGGCCTGTGGGAGGATTAAACAGACAATGAGCACTTCAGGGACAAAAAAAACAAAACAAAAACAAAAACCCAAACAACCCACACTCAATGCCACCGAGCTGATTCCAATTCACAGTGACCCTCACTGGGTTTCCAAGTCTGTAAATCTTTACAGAGGCAGACTGCTCCATCTTTCTCCCATGGAGTGGCTAGTGGGTTCAAACCTCCCACCTTCTGGTTAGCAGTCAAATACCTTAACTACTACACCACCTAAGCTCCTTTTTCAGGAACTGAAACCAAAAACCAAACGCATTGCCATTGAGTCAGATCCGACTCACAGCAACCCCTCCTTGGGTTACTGAGGGGGTGTCTCTAAACCCCTCCTTCGGTTTCCGAGGCGGTGTCTCTACGGAGTAGCTGCCCAATCTTCCTCCAAGGAGTGGCTGTGGGTTTGAACCACCCCCCTTCTGGTTACCAGTCAAATGCCTTAGGCACTACACCAACAGAGCTTCTCTTTCAGGGACCAAATTAAAAAAACAAAAATCACTGCCACTGAGTCGAATCCAATTCATAGCGACCCCCCCTTGGGTTTCCAAGGGAGCTCTGGTGGTGCGGTGCCTAAGACACTTGACTGCTCACCAGAAGGCTGGCGGTTCAAACTCCCCAGCCACTCCTCGGAAGGAAGGTTGGGCAATCTACTTCCGTAGTGATACCACCTCGAAAACCCAAGGAGGGGTCGCTATGAGTCGGGTCCCACTCGACGGCACTTAACAACAAGCATAAAGGGCTGGAGTCCGAGGATGCAAGAAACTCCTTCTTCCTCCAAGGCTGCTCCTTCTCCTTGAAGCCTATCCTTGTGGGTTAAGCATTGTGCTCTCACAAGAGAAACACAACTTGGGCATGGTCTTCCCTCTTGAATCCGGAACCAAGGGGTATGCCTGGACCCCGAATAGGTCACAGACTCCTTCCAATACCCCCGCTCAAAAGGGGAAACAGGCAGCGAGTGAGGACACTGCTTAGGACTCGATCTTCAGATGCGTTGGAGGAGGAGCCGGGGACTGCTCCCGAGAGTACGCTACTCTCTCCAGCTGACCCTCCAGGAGGGGCTTACCGGTAGCCGGGCCCAGCCTGGTGTCCCAACCGACCCTCACACAGCAGGGATCAGGGGGCCGCCATGGTAGGCGTTCTGCGCAGGCGCGGCCTTGTCTTTCCGCCCGCCCTGCCCCGTGGCCACGCCTCCCTGCCCGGGTCGCGCATCCTTGCTACGGCCGCTGGCGTTAGCGCGCGACTGCGCTCTTAGTGCCCGCGAGGCGCGTGAGTCGCCCGAGGAGGGGGCCCCGGGTAACTGAGTCCCTTAGCGTAGGTGGCGGCTCCTGTGCGGGGACTGGTCATCGCTCGCACTTCTAAGGCAGTTGACTAACTTGAGCAGGTACTACATGGTGAGGGCTTGGATGGAATCCGGGTACCAGAGCTCCGGAACCTGAGCTGTTAACCGCGTGCTGTCAAGTTTTGTATTATCGTTATTGTCCTCACTGCTCTTAGAATTCATTATTGTTCACGTGGTTGTTGTTAGTACTTGTGGAGTCGGCTCCAACTCGTGGCGACCTTATGTGCAACAGAACTAAATGTTACCCTGTCTTGTGCCATCTTCATGACCGGTGGTCGGTTTGAGTCAGTTATTATTATTAAACCAAACCCACTGGCGTGGAGTCACAGCGACCCTAGAGGGACAGAATAGAACTGCTCCATAGAGTTTTCTTTCCGAGGCTCTCAATCTTCCCGGAAGCCGACTGCCTCATCTTTCTTCTGCGGAGCTCCTGGTGGGTTTGAACTGGCGACTTTTTGTAAGCACTCGAACACCCTAACCACTCTTGCACCCGAGCTCCTGCATTATTCATAAGTAATAAAGTCTTAGTTGGTAGTTACTTCAGTCAGTCACTCGCCAAGGCTCCAACACCAGGCTAAAGCAGGAACTCCCTCAATGGGAGCCCAAGAGGAAGTGAAATCCAGTACAAATGTTACACTTTAGCGTGAACTAGTGGGAAAGACTTAAATCTTCCAAGCACCGGGAATCCTGAAGTTGGAGGCACCTTAAGGATCACTGGAGGCTTACACAATGCAGTTCAGCCTCCATTCCAACTACAAAGGAGGCCTGGTTGCCCAGTGGTTAAGCACCGGAGTGTTAACCCAAAGGTGGCCTGTTTGAACCTCCCAGAAGCTGCGTGGCAGAAAGTCCTGGCCATCTGCTCCCATGAATATTACAATGCAGGACACCTAATGGGGCAGTTCTACTTTGTCACATGGGGTTGCTATCTATGACAGTTGACTCCACATTACCTAACAACATTTCCAGTTGCAACACCAGCTGGGGAGCCCAGGGAAAGCTCTGGTCCAGGTAAGCATCTCTGTCCCCCTGAAGTAGGAAGGTACTTGGACAGAAGAAGTGAATGACCCTCACAGTCACGTCTTCCTGGCAAATCGGCAGTGGGTGTCTGAGGTGGCCAGAGCTGCCTCCCTCAGCTTTATAAGCTGCTACCTCCCTTTACTGATTTCCCTGGTATCGGTTCTGTACTAAACCCCAGGTAGACAGACACACATACACACATTTGCACAGGTATGCACATGCACACACCAGAGGAATGTCAACATATACACAGACCTCTGCATAACACATCTCAAAACAAATGTGCCCATATGTGCCCATAGAGGTGCCAGTGCGACACGTATATGCCAAGTCTCACCCGGACATAGCTGTTCTTTCATTTGGGAGTGCCTCGGGGCCGACTCGACGGCACATAACAACAACAACAACAACAACTGTGCATCAGGGAGCTCTGGTGGCATAGTGCCTAAGGCATTTGCCCGCTAACCAGAAGACTGGCAGTTCAAACCCACCGGCCACTCCTTGGAAGGAAGATGAGGCAGTCTACTTCCATAGAGATACCGCCTCTGAAACTCAAGGAGGGGTCGCTATGATTCAGGTCCGACTCGATGGCAGTGAGTTTGGGTTTTTTTGGAATGTCCATCAGAAGGAGCTCTGGTGGTTAGCTCTGGTGGCACTGATGACCGAAAGGTTGGTGGTTCAAACCTCCATGGGAGAAAGATGAGGCAGTCTGGTTCTCTAAAGATTTACAGCCTTTGAAACCCTGTAGGGGTTACTATAGGAGTTCTGGTGGCATAGTGCCTAAGGCATTTGACTACTAACCAGAAGGCTGGCAGTTCAGACCCACTAGCCATTCCTCGGAAGGAAGATTGGGCAATCTACTTCCATAGACATACCACCTCGGAAAGCCAAGAAGGGGTCGCTATGAGTCGGATACGACTCGACTGCAGTGGACAGGGGTTGGTATGAGTTGAAATCGACTCCATAGCAGTGAATGTGCTACACATCAGACAAGCTTCTAGGTGCAGGGGCAGAGTAACCGATAAGCAAAGTAAGCACAGGGTTACTTGTGCTTACTTACTAATCTGTAGTGAACAATTTCACGTGGGTTTCATCACATGAAAGATTCTGCTTCTAGGTAGGGCTGGTAGTGCCCAGTAGTAATTACATGTAGTGAAACTGTTCACTACAGATGAGTTGGTAAGCACAGGCTTACTTGTGCTTACTGGGTACTCTGTCCCTATT